GTAATTTTATACCCCTTTTTAGCCTACGTGGCACTAGTTCGGAAAAAAAGTCAACCATGATTGGGCCCACAAGATAGTGCCACGTAAGCTAAAAAGGGGTAAAAATTATTAATAAAATAAGTTCAGGGGGTAATAGGACCTTAGTATAGTATAAGTGTGTCTCTGAGATTTCGGGCATAGGTTGAGGGGGTACTTGGGCATTATGTGTTTTAATAGACAAAATAAAGTAGCAAAAACAAACATAGAGGCACACTACCTTATGATTAACTTCCTTAAAATGTCTTTCTTGTCTCATAGAATAAAGTAAAAATATTGAAATTCTTCTTTAAAATGTCTCTCTTGTCTCAGAGAATAGAGCAAAAATATTTAACTTAAATTAATAAATACAGGATACACATTTTAAGAAGATAAAATCTTTTGCGAATAATTAGTAAAATATGAAATTGTCCTTCTCAATAAGTAGAATGTAATTAAGTAATTCAAATTTATAAATAAGGAAACTTAATTAGAAGGAAATACTTAAAGACTTAAATTGCAACGGTTTGTATTTAAATCTTCCATTATATAATTAAAATATTAATATTTAATTAAAAATCATATTTTAATTTAGTGAAGAGCCAAAATGAAAATATTAATTTTTTTACATTTAAAAGTTTGTTAAAATATATTTTACATTTTTTGTTAAAATTATAATAGGAGCAATATTTAGTTAGAGGATAAAAAATCTTCTAACTTTTTAATTATTTTGGTGTATCATATTTTGGACTTTGAGACTTGGATCTCATGATTATTTTAATAAAATTTTCCAAATTTATAGATTTTATCCACAAGCACATGCAACAATAATTTTTAAAAATATTTAAAATTTAAGGTGCAAAAATGTAATTATTAATAATTTGAAATTAGAATATCTTGTAGGCATTAATTGTGTGTTTTTAAATGCATTATACACTATTTTTATGATTGTATTGGTTTTATTTTCTATAGAAAAAAACATACCCTTCAATCAAAAACATTCTTAAAACGAAATTATAAATACAAGAAAAAAAATATATATATGGCAGCAAGTTTAGAATATGAAAGGCTACCAACGTAAATAGAAAAATTCTAAAATAATCATTTCCCTACTTTTTATTGATAATGCAAATTGAAACAAAACTTTAGTAATAAACATTCCACCTTTAACCAAAAAAGTAGTTTTGGATTGAAGTTATCGCTAAAGTATAGCTCAAACTTAACACACATTCTTATGGTATAAATGTGAACAAAAAAACATCCTTAAATTAACCTAAACTTAGCAATAATCATCTTGTAGTAACTTTTGTTAAAAAACTAACAGTTAGTATAAAAAAACATGTGGCAAGCATGTGACTTTTTTCTCTCTCTAAATATTTTTTGCGTATGTTGCTTTTAACAGTTTTTCTTATCTTTTGACCAAAAAAGTTTACTTAATTTGCTAATGATTATATGCTATTTACTATTGATTTGCCGATATAATTTTTTTTTGGTTTTTACTACTACTAATCAGTTTCACTTTTGTATATCTGTTTTTAACTAATTTGATCTTGTTTTTCTACGGCTTTATCAATCTCTTTTGCTGTTTTTTCTGCTACATTGTTGTTTCTGGCTGGTTTAATGTTATTTTTACTGGTTTTTGGTATGGCTTACTAGTTTTTTAGTACTGTTTTACCAGTTTCAGGTGCTTTAATGTTTTTTGAGTGTTTTGTCTTTTTTGTTTTAGTTACTGTTTTTCTGTTGATTTACCAACATTTCTGCTCGCTTATTATCGGTTAGAAGTGCTAACATGCTCAAGGCCAAAAAATAAAAAAAATAAATAAATACACTCAACCAACTCATAGAACTATTTTATTCCACTAAACAATCGTAGATACGTTTAGTACAAGAAATTCAAAGCGAGACTAACACAATACTTTACTTTCTCATCTTCTCTCGAAACCAATTGCCAGACTTCTTGTGTAACCATGATATTTTATTTCTTCACCTGCTGCTTTTCTTTTGTGTAACATTTTTTTTGTGCTTTGAGGCTAATCATTTTTCATGGAAATGCATCTCATAAATTGGATTGACGGTAGGCTTTTTTCTTTTCGATTGAAATAGACATAATCTTGATCCCTACATTTAATAAGGAAGAAGACATTGTTAGTTAGATTTTCTAAAATATGAACAGGTCACTCTCT